TTTTGTTTCTCTTGAAGCTGAACCACAAACCAGAGATAAATGTTTCGTTATCCTTATGTTACCTCTGATAACTGTACAGAACCAAACTGAAAGGGAAACGGGGTGATGTCTTTTACTCTTTCAGTAGTCTCCCAGGAGCTTCCACCCTTTCTCCAAGTAGAATATTACAACATAGTAGCTACTTATCTACAGCAGTTTGTCTTTAGCTACAGTCTTCCACTCTGCCTGGGAGAAACAAGTAAATAAAGCCCATATTTCAAGCTTGATTTACTCTGATACCTACTGTGAAAGATTATGACTCTTTAGGGAAATAAAGACAGGGTCAGGGAATTAGTGTACATAATGGTCATTTTGATAATGGGCCAACAGATGCAACTGGAAACATACTGTACACAATTAAGCATAATGCACTAATGACAGGTTAGAGTTTTTATCGCCTCTTTGCGATCGAGCAGCAAATCCAAGTTTAGCAGTAATAAAGAGTTCATTGGTGCTAAAGCCAAAGATTTTCTGACAGAGGAAAGATTTTTCCTTTCATAACAAGAGTATTAAATCCTTTGTTTACTAGGCTCTAGAAAAGAGATATGCAAAGTGGTTGTCAGATATTTCTTAGGAAAAAGCCAATTAAAGGGTAATCGAGTAAAGGATGAGAATTACCATTTGACTTCAAACGTCTCCTCTTCCCCTGCTCTCTCCTGCCTCTACCCTGTAACAGTGTTGTGCCCCTGTGGACAGCTTCTCTTCCAAAGAACTTCAGAATTGCAGATAATGATCCAAATCCGAGGTTTTTTACTCATGAAAGTAGAGCAGGTTTGTCATATCTTAACAATTCTGTATTTTGTAGTATAGCAAGATCTCATCTGTAGGCTTCATTGAACGCACTAACCGCGTACCTGAAATACAGATGAAAATGAAACAGAATTATTGGAGTAAAGCAAAATGGTGCCTGCAGGGCTGATGCAGTTTTCTGTCCTCTGTCTGGTTTGAGTCGGGCATTGGGAAGATCTTATTTGATAAAGGGGTGGAGGCTGCTTGTCAGTGCAGGTTTTGCCTGACTTCCTTACCAGAGGTCTCACCTATCATCAGTGCAGATTTTGGTTTAGGGTGTTGTTGCCAGGACACTCATACTTAGTATCTGAAATAAAAAGAATTAAGCATTTACTTCCTACTGAGGTTTATTTGCATGAATGACGCTTCAGTTTGGGGTCTGGTGGAAATACGCTTTACTAATGATGTTTCTATGATGTAATAGGTGGTTTTCTGCCACAAATATTCCTTTAGCCAAACCATATTTGAATCGGACCAAACTAAAGCCACCGCTTGTGCTTATAATACCAAGTATTTTCTTTCTTGGTGTTGAAATTCAAGTACAAAAGTCTTTCTGGTCTATTTGCTACAACACCTCCTCTCAAAAAGGTTAAGAAGAGGTGAAAAGGATGAAAAGCCACTTGCAGGGTTTAAAAAATCTTCTATGGAAAAAACATCTTTCATATCACAAAAAAGTCTCATGTAGGTTGTTATGTGCATAAGGTGGAGGCTTAAGAGCAGACACATTTGCAGATGAACTGCTTTTACTAGCTTCTCCGAGACATGACATTTGTTCAGAAGATTAGCCAGGTTGTAATGTGTAGCATAATTGCACTGTGCGGATGTCCCAGAAGTGAAAACCTAATTGCTTGACAGGCCTATAACTTTGTGGTACGCTCTCACCTTGTTAGGTCCTTTTCTGATGCAGTTCAAATGAAGTCTGGCCGCAGGTGTGCCTAATTTACCTCGCAACAGAACGTGTTGAGTTTAATTGCACAGTGGTTGTTAGGAAAAATTGGTGGGTGGAATATCAAGTGACTTACTGTATGCGGATGGCAGATGGGCGTTGAGAGGCATCACGAGCTAAGTGTATAGGTGAGGTGAGTTAATAAAAGATGTAAATTTTATCTTAAAATAGTGAAGTCTTGTGGTAGGTAATACATTTTAATTAAGATGGTAGCAGTCCCCTTTCTAGCAGCATGAAAAAATCAGAGCAAAGGAACATCACAAAGACTGCATTTTTCTCCATATCAGTATTTTAGGAACAGCTTGGTATGTTTAGGAGGCTATTCTGCAAGACTGTATTTATTGAAAAGACTACATTTGTGCATATAATGCAAAAGACAGCAGGGAGAGGCAAATCTAGAAAGGCTTGCATTCTCATTCTGTTGGTAGCAACAAAGTTTGAGACACGACCAAACTGAGCTCTGATCCAGCTCCTCGCTTCTTACTGTGTCACAGCAGTCTTGTCTCAAGAGCACAGGGATCGCAGAGAAAGTGTCTGGTCCTGTTCTCTCTGTGGTAGGGATGGGTTCGTTGTGCCCACGGTCCTTGTTGGTCAGCTGAGAGGAACGATCAAGTCAGTCGTCTTCTTCTGGCAAGCTTTGAGAAACACCCTGCCTGGGAACATGGTTTTTAACTTGTGTTGTCTTCCTCTGAAAATCTTGTCTTGATGCCACCTGTGCTCCATGAACTCTCTGAAAACACAGATTAAAAAATAAAATAAAATACCTCAGTATCAAGGAATGCAGCAGAGCTGAAATATGAGTGCTGCTTGTGTTCACCCCAGCCTTGTGGCTTCAATATTTAGCCCAGTGCTTAGGGTGATCCTGCTAAACTTGAAGATGTCTAATTCCACCAGATGTGGGTCCTTTTCACCAAATAATTGAACAAATACTAGTTGCAGTTGAGGTTTAGTGAAAGGGTGCTTAATGGCCCTTTTTTTTGACAGGATGCGAGCTCTCTGTATAGAAACAATTCATCATGAATGCTTCACATTAAAAACAACCCACAAGGAGCAATACTTAGCATTCCTAGTGCACAATTCATCGGAGGATTTCAGAGCAATTTACAAACATTAGCTCAATAAGCCTCACAACACCCATTTGAGATCAGAAAAAAAATTGATAAGATACTCCTCTTCAGCCTGGCTGTGGCACTAAGGAGCTGTAAAGCTGGAGGCTCTCCCCAGCTCCTGACTATCCAGAGCCCGGTGGTCCCACACTGACGTGGGCATCAGCTGGTCCTTGCACACCATCGCAGTCCATGCGGTGGAAGCTATGCAAGAAAGAATAGAGGTATGACAGAAATGCCATTACATTTAGGCTATACTCAGTTGATCTGGAGATCATAAGTGTCTTAAACCCCCCCTCAAAACCAAGGTAGATAAAATTAGGATGAGGGTATGGCTAACAAAGATGCAGTTTCATGGAGCTGCTGATAGTGTCCCTGCAACAGTGTCCAGAAAACTTGAGTTCAAGTGAGCATCTGAACTAGGAGATCACGTCAACCACCACAGAAATCTAGCTCTCTTTCAGCTCAACAGCTAAACTCCCCTTACAGATTTTGGGATAGAAACTTTTAAAGAAACATGCGTTCAGCTGAACTGACAGTATCGATTTATTTATGCACAGTTTCAGTAAATGTAGTTATTTCCCTCCTTGTCTCTCTGATGTGAGAGATTGCTCCTTCAGCATTAGCATCCTGTATTAATATTAGGGTCCTGCTCAAGGTTTAACTGAAAAGGAAGAGCTGTGATTAAAAGCACCAGTTTGTGATATGGGGACAGTCCTCTGTAATGCTCCTGTCCAACCCCCGAAGCTCTGCAGGAGCGAGTGTGACATGGTGCAGCCGCAGTCATACTTTCTATCCACTGTGGTTGGGCCGTGTTGGGTTCTGAAGAAGGGAAGAGGCACCTGGCTTGCCTCCTGCCAGGAATGCGGTTGGCACACGGAAACTTCTGTGAGGTGTATACAGCAAGAATAGTCACAGTCACTTGTAAAGATTGACATGAATAAATGATAATTGTTCATATTCTAAATGTAAATGCTCTGCCTAACCTCACTATTCAATGTGTATAAAGTTGGGCAGCACAAGCTGCTGGGCTGGTGCATCTGAGAAACTTTTCATGAGGAGAAAGTCCTGAGCCTTGCTTGTCATTAGCTGTCAATTGTTAGCTGAAAACTAGACCTATAGAACTTTTTTTTGAATTATGAAATGTGAAAACATAGCTACATAAAGAAAAGAGGAGGCATTAGGCTGTGAACATCCTCCTGCACGAGGGCAGAATGGCCAGGGTCCCTCCATCTTGCACAGCCTGGAGGATGGAGACATCCCATATCAGCTCATTCCTCCAGCACAGGAGGGCACCATAAAGGACTTTGCACCTTTCCAAGCTTTTCCCCTTCCTATAAGTGCTTGCTGTGTTCCCGGGAGGCAGTGTTGCTACAAAAACGGTTTATGGGGAGATGCCTAGATGATAAGGGTTAGTCCTAAATAATTGCTGATTGCTGCTCAGCAAAAATAAGCTGGATTTCCATCCCTGGGTGGAGTGACTCCTCACAGTTAAAGGCTGGCAAAGGTTGAAGAGGTCGTAAGACAGGGCCTAATTTGCCATGCTCCTTTCCTTTCAAAAACAATGAGGGAACCGGGGCCTTGCCGGTGGGCAGATCCCGCCTGGATCTCCCTGGAGTCAGCAGGAGTTGGATCGAGTCCCTTTGAATAGCGAGAGTTTCCAAACCGGAGGCAAAGCCAAGTGTTTTTCAGAAGATTGATCATTCATTACCTTGGAATTTTTTGACGTAGAGGTCATTACTGCTAATATAAGTTGTGAAAAAATAAAATGTATTAAAAAAATAGAGACAAATTCTCATCTGGTGTAAGTCATTGCCTTTGAAGTCAATGAGTCATTGAAATCAACTTTCCCACACCGAGCTAAGGATATGGCCTGGAGTCAATACATTTGTAGTTGTTGAAAAATTAAAAATATAAATTTGCCTTTCCCTGGCAATAATGTTCTGTTTACGACAGAGATCTTACGCTTTAAAATAAGTTCATTAACTAATAGGAAAGTAATATTTCACTACCAGTATTCTTTTGGGTATAACTATTTATGATTAAATTTTATTAAACTTTTTTTCAATTGGATTTACATTTTGATGAATCTAATAGATTTCAATTTTGTATTTTTATAGATTCTTTCTAAAGTTTTTCCTCAAGTGCAATCAGAACTGTTTGAAGAATGCAGGCAACCCACGAGACATGCGAAGATTCCAGGTACAGATCCCTCTTAAAGAATAAACGATATGTAAAAGACTTACTCACGTTTTCATCTTGAACTTTTAAAACTAAAACCCAGTATCAGTGCTTCTACTTAGTGTAGCTTCAATGCTGTGTGCCTTTAAAAAAACCCACTGTCGGTATTTTACATTTCCCCCACTAATTTAAATGGTGGTTCTTGGGACTCGCCAAGTTCTGCAGTGGACTGTAACAGATCAAGGCTGAAGCAAGTGGGTCTCTCCTCAGAAAGTATTTCCCTAGTTTTCCTTCATACTAGCACCTTGTATTGTAGTGTGTTGTGTGCTCAGACGTGCAGAGGTTTTACATCTGTAGACCGAGTAGCATAATCTTACTAACAGAGATGACTGTGGAGCACAGTGAAGTTTGGATCTCACACAGGGGTTTTTCACATTCACAACTTGTAAATCCAACAGTGGTGGTCCAACCCACATATTTCTATTCCAATTGTGTTAGAAAATGTTTAATACTTCACTTTCTCCTTACAGCTTTTGAAATATCCTGTGGTGAATCATAACACTACAGAGAGACAGCTGACGTGATGGACAAATGATTTCCTCCGTATTCGGGGTCATTTGAAATGCTTGTTAGGAAATATATGCTTTTTATTTCAAAATATTTCACAATGATTCATATTTGAGACTAATAATAAACTAGTATTGAGATGTTCAAAACTTTCTTATTTTTGAGAAGAATAACTTGTGGTTAAACTTGATAGCAAAACATGTGACATCTGTTTTCATGCACAGCCAACCAACCGGTGAAGCCAGAACCCTTGAGCCAGCCAACAGAAAAGATCTGTAGCTGGAAAAAATATTTCTTCAAAACAATTGAGCCAAGCTTCCATTTTTCATGCATCTCAGCTTCACGTGGCATTGGTGATATTGATCCATCTGAACAGAACAGAAGGTCAAACCTGGAATGAGTGGAAATGTCCTCTTTGTCTCACCGATGACTAAATGAAGCATCAGTCATGAGCGATCTTGTGGTCGACAATGGAGCCAGTAGGCACTAGAAAGACTTTCCTGGGTCTCTTTAGCTAATCTCCCTGCCTCTCAGAAGGTTTAACTGGACTTAACAGTATGTCAGATCTTGAACAATATTTTTAACTGGTTTCACTGTCTCAGCACCTTTCTTTAGGTGCACTGCAGGAATAAGCCGATATAACAAAGCATAGCATGTCTACTTTCTTTTGCTGAACTAGAGTATTTTCCCTTGGTGACTGACCTATATATACATGACAGAACAAAAATAGTTGTCATTTTTATATACACCTTTCTCTGTCTTTTTAATATACCGTGTTCTAGGAACCAAATCCAGAAATCTTTGCTGAAAATCACACTTGTATGTTTTGCAATATTTCTTAAAGTCTGCGAAACTCATTAAAAGTGAAAGCAGATAGCCCAGTGGCCTGGCAGCAGCTCTGCGGCCGAGGTGAGTGTGCAACCTCAGCACTCTCCAAAGTGGATGTTGACAAGGGTGAAAGTGTCCACTTCTGGGAGGAGAAAGGTAGGGAAGCAGAGCAGCCTGACAGAGAACTGCCCTCAGGCTGTTCTAAAGGGTACCGCAGATGGCTGTCTCAAAGGAGGCAGGATACACAGAAAAGGTGCTGTGATAGCTGAAAGCTAATTATGGGTTGTGAATAAGAAACAGGATCAGAGGTGATCCAAAACATAGAAGCAGACACGAATTTTCTTCTGATGCCTTGGACCAGCTCTGTGCAAAAGGAGGCTAGTTTTTCCCCTTCCATTTTTGTTCATTAAGTGTTTGGGTATAGGAGCTGGTGTGAGAACACTGGCAATCATTTTTGTTGTATCCAAAAGTAAAATAAACGGAAGGTGAAAGCTAAAATTTGTACTAGCTTTTGCCACTGTCACCAGTAGGGTTGATAAGGCCTAACTTAGCCATTGACTTTAAGGACTCTGCTAACGTTAAACCCCAAAGAAAATGCTGCAGTGATTACTTCATTTAAAAAGTCTGGAACCCACACCACAGGGCCCATGCTGGAGTATTTAAATAAGAAGTAAATGTCTATCTGGGATAATAGCAATTGACCTATGAAGTCGTGTTCCACACAAACACAGGCGCATCTCACGGTTTCCTCTTTGGCTTCTGTTCATGCAATATCGTTTCCGGAAGGAGTTTCACAACTCCATTGTGTAGGTGTTTTTATCGGGAAGGTTGTGCGTTTTGCATATGTTCCTTTTCCATTTTCTACTGAGAAGCAGCTGGAAGCCAAAGAAGGCCCTATCCATCATCTCTTCTATGGCCGGACTCTGAACCTGGACACAAGAATAGGAGCCTTTCACTCAAAAATAAAGGAGGAAATTCCATTGACATACCAGGGTCAATCACCATCCAAATGAACTTGAGAAGGGATACTTTTCATGGATTGAAAACACTTTCACTATTCATATTCAACTCGGTCTTTTCAGATGCAAAAAAGTTCATTATCAGACATTAAATGTAATTGTAAAACTGACCTGGAGATCATTTACTGAAGAAAAAATGGGGAGTTACGATGGTTCCTGATTTATTAAGCTTTTTTTATTTGGAATCCTCACAACCCTTCATTTGAAGACAGTCTCAAGTGAACAAATTTTAATTAGATAAACTATCTAATCAATATATCAACAGATCAATCAAAACAGCAGCTTTTAAAATGAGTGGCTAGAGGGGTGTTTCTGAAACTAATGGCTAGAAGAATATTTCCCTGAATTGAATTAATTTGTTAGCATAATAGGAGATTAAACTCTAATTAGTGTAGCAGGTTCTGAAGAGAAACAATTGTGGGTTAAAAATCACCAGTGTTAGCCACATAAACAAAGATGTATTCATAGTTGTCATTCACTTTGTTTAAAGCAAAAAGTAACAGGCTGTGATGTTGTTTTGTCTTAAAAGAAGATCTGATTCTGTATCTATGTTTGTGAAAATATGCAGGATTTTTTAAAGTTTGCTTTTTCTCTTCTTTTTCAGGTTGTTGTATCAACAACAGTCAATGTGGATGGCCACGTGCTGGCTGTCTCAGACAACATGTTTGTACACAACAATTCCAAACACGGGAGGCGGGCTCGCCGCCTTGACCCCTCAGAAGGTACGGCCCCTTCTTATCTGGAAAATGGTAGGCACACATTTACATGTCTTTTTTTATTTGCAATGCTTTTTTTTTTTTTTTTTTTTGCACCATACTTTATGTTGATACACTACTACATTTACTTTTACATAATTTCTTCTCTCATCCATCAAATCACCCATTAAAAAAGTCCATTAGTATTTCTCAGCCCTTGTCAACCAGAATACGGGTGCTTCTGAATTTGCTTCTGACTTCTTTCTTTATTTATTTAATACTTACAGTTTTGCAGTCACAACCAATTTTTCATCTTTTTCTATTTTTTTTTCCAGTCTTGTTTTGCTTGCAGCTTTTTCTTGCTATTTAATTTGACCTGATTTTATTTTGGCTTGTCATATTCCTTGATCCAGAGGTACAGTCTCAGGTTATGTATGCAAGTTTAAGTGGATGGTAAAAACATGACCGAATCTGTAAAAAATTTACTGTGAGGTCAATTTCCTGTGGCTGGGCCTTACTGCAGATTACGGCAGGAGGGGGTTTGTATGAGAAAAACAGCATAAAATGTTTTTCTTCAGACTGACTCAATGTGATTGACTTCTTGCCTGAACTGCTAAAAGAAGATAGTCTGAGATGAAGAGGAGAATGGAAAGTGTCTCTGAAAATCCAGAATTGTGAAATACTATCTTTCTGGAGCCCATCAGCCTCCGAATCACTCGCACACAATTGCAGCTGCACTCGTACACGTGCACACATGTATTTATTCTCCCGCAGAGCCCAAAATAATAAATTAGTTTTAAATATCACTTTGTTCACACGGTAAAATACACCAATGTAAAGGTACAAACCGGCCCTCAGGTAACCTGGTTTTTAATAAAAGTAGAATAGAATAGAATAGAATAGAATAAGAATATTTTCAGTTGGAAGGGACCTACAATGACCATCTAGTCCAGCTGCCTGATCACTTCAGGGCTGACCAAAGATTAAATTCATAGGGGTCAACTACATCTTCAGTTTTTAAAGAGTTTGAATTCTCAAAACCACTGTGATTTGATGTATGGCTGCGTGGCCAGGCCACGCACATCAGTTTCCATGGGACTCCTCTTGCAAGTTGTTACTAACATATTGACAGGATCATGGCTTTTTACATTAATAAAATTAATTAAAGTAATAACCGAATACTAAGCTGCTAATACAATCATTGTCATTTTACGTTTCAAATAATGTTTACCAATGGGCACACAGAGAAATGAATGAGGCAAGCAACAATTATCAGAAGGAAATACGATCTAGACATCAAAAAATGGAAAACGATTTACAAATCTGCTGCAGTCCACACACACAAAACTAATTTGTTTTTCTGCATTAATAACTAAGGTATAAGAGAACAAAAATATAATAATTAAAGGTTGCCCTGAGCACCAGAGTCATTATGGTCTATGACGTATTGTTTATCTCTTTCATATGCACTGAAAGTAGGTGTGTGTTTTGCCTAGCAACCGTCACTAATGAGGTTCACAATTAAGAAGGCTGAATCCTCTCCCTTAGTCCTCTCCTTCCCCAGAGAGTGAGAACTAGCAACATTATAGGTTCAAGTAAGCATGCTCAGCCCTGTGGTGTTAGGTTTTAGTCTAGGTCCAAATTCAGCCTCTTCTAATGAGCTATTATGATCTTAGTAAAATACAAGTATTTATTTTTGTAAGCTGTATGAAAAGAATTTGACTCTAAGCAGAAAATATCACTTAGAAAAATAAAGGCCACTTTTACATGCTAGAGAAAATCTACATAAAAGTCACTAACCAATAGCTCCTTTTTGCGATATGGTAATTG